AGGGGGGGGGGGGGGGGGGGGGGTAAGGGGCGCCGACTACATCGCCCATCCGTTGAGCCCCTCGAGTACAAGGGCTCGCCGGAAGAAGAGTTCCCGCTTGGAGCCGCGGCCATGACTAGTGGACCTCGATGGACAAGCGATCGGACGCCCAGCTGCGACGAGCTCCGCGCGCACCGCCAGTGGGGGGAGCACCGTGGGAAGCACCGGAGAGCTGGGGTCTCGGCTGGCCTTGCCGGCTGGCTGTTTGCCCTGGTACTTCTGTCGGGCTGACGTCCCACGCCGCCAGAGGAATAGTCAACATTCGTCCCGCGCCACAACGACCGTATCTGCCATTATTTGATACGCCCCCCCCTCTTTGGGCACTTTGTTTGTTCTCACCTTTCTTGTGTTTTCGTGAAGCGATGGTCGGCTATTTGTTTCGAAGACGAGGGCTGTTCCCACTACAAGGCGGCCAGGAAGAACTTTAGCCAGACTGAGACGTCCACTGACCGTCAGCGGGCCGCCTCCGTCTGGCTAAAGTTCTTCCGAGCCGTCCGGTAGTGCGACCAACCCTTGTCCTTGAAGCGAGTAGGCCGACCATCGCTGCATGAAAAAAAAAAAGACGAAATGGGAGAGCGTGGTAAACGAAAGGATGCACGGCTCATTGCAACAAAGCTAGTGGCAGATACGGTCGTTGTGGCTCGGGGCGAATGTTGACTATTCCTCTGGCGGCGTGGGACGTCAGCCCTACAGCAGTACCAGGGCAAACAGCCAGCCATCGAGGCTAGCCGAGTCTCCGGCTCTCCGGTGCTTCTCCCGGTGCTTCCCCCACTGGCGGTGCGCGCGTAGCTCGCCGCAGCTGGGCGTCCGATCGCTTGTGCATAGAGGTCCACTAGTCATGGCCGCGGCTACAAGCGGGAAGTCTTCTTCCGGCGAGCCTGTGTACTCGAGGGGCTCAACGGATGGACGATGTTGTCGGCGCCCCGTACCCCCCCCCCCCCCCCCCCCCAAACTTTAGCTATACCGGGGGGCGACTGGCGCCGCCGTTTTTACTCTTTTCAAAAAGCGTAAACCAAAATGAGCATCCTCTTGGGGCCCTCTGCTCCGCGGGGGCCCGGGGGGTCTCCCCTCCTCTCCCCCCTGGGGGGGCCGGAAAAAAAATTTATGCTCCGGGCCGGGCCCCTACATAATGGAACTACCAAAAAAAAGACCGGGCCGCTTGGGCCTGGTGTGCTTTTGGGACCCCCCCCCCCTACATGCTTCTCTGGGGGTTT